GTGAAATGTTCTACCTTATCAAGAGTTATTAGAAATTTTGGAAATGTATAAGCCACGAGTAAACTTGGGGTTGGGATGATTGGAGGAATGAAGGCAAAACAATCTGTATTGGAGGTGATTCAAGTGCACGTGATTAGTAGCAGTGGGTGAGGCTTAAAACACGGCAAATGAAAGGGCTAAGGCCAAAAAACGAACCATGTGGGAAAAGGGGTTGTGCGGTGAACATGGTAAGCGAGCTGCTGCAAGAGGAGTGAGCATCTCAAAGCCTTTCGCATCAACGCCTGCTACAGATGATAGGGCGTTTGATTTTCGGAAGCAGTGTGTAATACCACTAAAAATGAGCTCGAAATAAGTAATTATTTCTCGCACTATCGGGCTTCTGATGGCTACTATCTTCTCATCATCGATTCAATGCAATGGCAGTTGCTCTGGAAAATCCATTGATCAAAATGCCGGTGGGCCTAGCAATGAGAGCATAATGGACGATTGTTAAGACAAAGCTCGGTTGGTTACTTTGCCCGTTGCTCATACAAACAGTATTTGAATTTCGAACCTCGCCCAATGTGCTTAAAAATGGCTGTCGCATCTTTCAAACACTGAACCACTTCATGTTTACTATTGCAAACAACTGTGTTCTCATTAGCTTGGATACCCACGACCTAGTCTCTACTTATCACCTTGTTTAAGAAGATAATACAGAAAACTTTCAGAGAATTAAAGCAAGCCATTCTGTACTCGCTAAACCCTGACTCAAAAATAAACTCCGAATCGCTGGAACTCTTATGCGTGAATTTCAAAAATTGATATCATCATCACATAGCGAAATTTGGAGCAACGCTCCCAGTTGTCGATGTTTATTACCACGTCAAGGAGCGGTTACATTTTGATTGTCGATGTAAGACTAAAAATGAACCATCTGTGTGAGAAGCCTGCTTAAAGCTCGTGATACAAATTAAATTGTCGCAAACGTGATTATTCATGATTCTTGCTTTAAAAAATGTTGGATCTTCCAAGGAAACGCTATAAAGCATAACTAATCGATTGTACTTCTACTACAAAAAAAACCAAAATGTATCATGTTTTTTTTTAATTTGGCTATTTAACTTACCAACTTAGTCTTGGTAGAGAGATAAAAAAGCAGAGAACCTTGGCATGGCTCTTGTAAAAGTAAAGTCACATTTAAATTATTAAGATTTTTATAAGATTAGGTGACTTAATCGCACAGCCCCTTCAACGGGCTTATTTCTAAGCCGTACGCTCACTTTGTAATTGAAAAAATTCAATGTACAACAATCAGACATTTGCTGGCATAAAGATTCCCTAATACTCGCCTGATTAATTAACAACGGATTTCTCCAGAGGTAATCCATTTTTTGCACTTCCCTCCCTATTCTCCATTAAGTGATTGCCTATCTCCTTGACCTTCACCTCACCAGGCTCTTCATCCTCTGGGAGGTTAGAATTAATCTCCTTGCCCAGTGGCATTTTGCGTTTCGTCACGTTGGTGCCAGTGCCGGCGACAGAAATGAAGGAGACAGAGGTGATAGCGGAATCGGCATTGCACGTCAAAAGGTCAGT